CCTACCCTCACTCCAGGGACTGCAGCATCAACAGCTGTTTGAACGCCTTCGTGTGGCTGGTCTCGCGCATCTCGCTGGCCAGGAACATCTTGTCCACAACCGTGTAAACCTTGTAGAAATTGAACACCAGGTCCAGCTCACAGACGTTGTGGAAATATTCATGTGAGACCTCCACGAAGTTGTGGGTGGCCTCCGGGTAGGCCAGCTTGTTGTCACTGATGTCCACACGGATACAGAAGTTGAGGCCAGAGCAGCGTCGGTAAATGATCTCGAGGTTCTGGAACTGCACGAAGTTGGTGTGTTTGGCATCTCGCGCAGTGACCATGGCATGCACCTGCTTCATCAGCTTCTGTTTCTTGTAGTCAACAAACTCCATGTACCACTTGGCCAGGCGTGTCTCACCTGCCTGGTTCTGGATGAGGATGAAGCGTCGACCCCTGTCTAGACCCCAGCGGCCCCGATCCAGTGGCTTCTAGGTGGCTTCGGCTCCGGCCGCTGCTCATGGTAACCTTTCGATTAAAGCCAGAGAAGATCACTGTGGGATTCTCCCTTACCCATTTTTGTACCTCGTGCAATAAAAGCCCTCCTGAATTCTCATCACACTCAACATGTCTCAGTCAGCCACCTCATCTCCTGTGACAACCTCATCTCACATGACTTTTATTTTTTAATTGAAGCATCGTCAGTGACGATGTGTCAGTTTCTGGTGTGCGGCATAACATTTCAGCACGTGACTTTTTCACATTAGAATAACCTGAGCCCTGTGACTCTTCTCCCCTTCCTCACCAACAAATTCCCTCATGGCTTCTTAACACTGACAGATCGCCTGCTGACTCCTCGTGACGATCTATAGGAAACTCTTTTGGGTAATGCTGACTTCTCGTGGTGCACGGATCGTTCCTATTTGGAGAGTGACAATGGCAAAATGAGATGCTCTTGCAAATCCTTTTGATGCTGTTGAGGCAACATTTTTATCTATGGTTACTTAGGTCCAGTGGGCTGAATTATATGCTCTTACATGGGTTTGTTCTTAGCCCAGGGCAAGACTGCCAAAATTTATACTGCTAGTAGGTATGCTTTTGAGTAGCTTGTGATTTTGGAATGTTGTGGAAACAATGTGGCTTCCTTACTTCTGGTGGTAATAAAATTAAAAATGGCTCCTATGTTCAGGAATTATTGGAAGCAATAGTTTTGCCTGCTGCCTTAACTACTATTAAGATTCTGGGGCTTCTAAACTTGACTCTCTAAGGCTAAGGGAAACCACTGTGCTGACATTTCCACAAGGAATGCTGCCCTTCAAGGAACCAAGAGCAGACAAAGCTCTGCCAGATCCAAAAGGATATTTCCCCCAATGACAACTTAGGAAAACTGGCTACAGAAGCCCAACAAATAGCCTCAAAAAAGGAAAAACAAGATTGGAAATTCAACAGCTGTTGGTTTGGTCAAGAGAAAACTCTAGTTTGGACCAAACAATAACCCAGTCCTGCCAGAGATGCTAAAATTCCCACTCCTCACCACTGCTCATGCATTAAACCATTGGTCTTCTGACAGGTAATAGCATTAATGAATCGATATTGGTGGGGACACATTAACAAAGCTGTAAAAAGTGCCCACTTCACCTGTCTCGCTTGTCTGGAATACCACCCCGGGAAGCCTGTTACTGCTTCTGGACATTTTAAACTGTCTAATGTATCACTTGGGATCTGGCAACTGGATTTCCCATGACTTCCTCCATCTCGTGAATATAGATACATTTTAGTTATGGTCTGTATGTTTTGATGCTGGATTGACACTGAGCCCTACAGGAAGAAGAAAGACTCCTCTTTTGGCAACAACTTGGCCAATGTAAAGCCACAGACTCTTTGTTTATTATCGCCCCTTCAAGTTTGTCCCCCCTCTGCAAAAGAGTTCCCCTTCTCTTGCTATGTGGGGACTTGCAGGTGGCTCATAGTGCTTGCAGACATCGAATTGCAATTCTCTGCCAATCCCAAATAAACCCATTTTTGCTGGAGAAATGACTGGCAGTCTTCTTGTTTTAGGTCAGTAACATTCAATGAATAATCATAAAAATTGTATCCTGGTTAAATTTTTTTTTCTACTTTTAAAATTGTCTTTCCCTGATGGCAGGCATCCATTGTTATAAAGACAACCAAGAAAAAATAATCTCATAAAATGAACAGGTTAAATCAAGATAATGTAGAATTGACTAGTTTCTCTCTTTCTCCCTCTCCCATTCTTCTATCAGAAGTGTGTAATGAGCACAACGTGTAGACTGTGGCCTGGGCTGCTTTTATTTTTGAGTTTTTTCATAGAGGCAGTCTTAGTGACTGTAATATCTTTTCTTTTAGTGTTGCTGAACTTGTCCTGTAATCCCAAAGAACAGATTAGAATGTCAGGGAAAGCAGAAAGGTTAAGCAAAAAGAACCCCAAGGACAAGATACATGGAACCTAGGTTTCAGTTGCCAATCTGCATTAACTATCCCTTAACAAGAGCTTCACAGGTTGGTGCCAGATTAAATGTGCAAACCTCTAGAAGATATTAAAGCCCGTCAAATGCTAATTTTATTTATTACTCTCATGATTTAAAAATTTAATTGATAGGAATATATTTGCAATCTGTACAAAAAAAATTAAGCACTTTAGTTAGAAAAAAGTGAGTAATATAAATCCAAGGCATCAACTGCTCCCCAATCATCCAGTTTTTCAGTAGGGAACCAGAAATTAGATTTTTATGCTGTGGATTAGGTCCAAAGTTCCTTTTTGATTCTTTCTGGAAAGTCTGGGTCAGGTTATCATATAAGCTTCTTCAGCAGGTCAGTTTTTCATTTGTCTCTTGCCCTCTTTTCAAACTTATAAAGCCCTGTGAGCAAAATAAGAAAATACAAGCAATAGGCAGTTATATAATTATATAAATTTTTAGAATTTTATGTCCTTTGAAGAGAATGGGAAAACGACCAGGAACATGTATGTCCTATGTGAGGCCAAGAGGATACACCATGGAGCACTCTTACTGGCCCCAAAGTCCCTCAACGGCAAAGCCAAATTTTCTGTTTTAAACTGCAAGCCCCTGGTTCCATAGTTGAAGCTCAAGTATTCAGCAGGACCTCTCTATGACTATAAATTAACTCTTTTGATTAGTGAGAACGTGGGAGACAGTCATCTCTTACATGGGTTAGTCTTACTATAGCTGAAGCTGAAAATTTAGGTCCAAGACACTTTGTAAGAGATAATTTTAACGCAGACACATAAGGAAAAAAAGTCATGGCAATCACAGCTTCAGACACATTTTGTTTAGAATAAGAAGTTTCATGACATAAGTTGGGCTTGGATGTAGATGGGTGGATGGCAAGAACTCTGATGTTCGTATTAAGGAAGAATGTTCTGATCAATAATTAATTGGTATTTTACATTTCCATTGATAAAAATGTTTTGCTCTGTGTTTCACCCTGGGCTGAAAGATTGTCATTGTGTTTCTGGAAATGTATACAAAACAAAAAGCTGTTTGGAAGGTAAGTGAATTTTCCAGGGAAATTCATCTAGATATGTTTACATAATTTTCAAATGAAAAAAGTAAATGCAGCAAAGGAGCATTAGGGAATGTTTTCTTGCCTTCTTTTTCATTTGTTTATTTTTACAATTTAGAGGTGAATATGCCAGGTTAAGAAATAGGCCCGTTTTCAGTGTGAGGCATGGTGCCGAGCACCACAGAGAGTACTAAGGTGAACACCAAGAATTTCATACACTGTGTTGCATTTATAGCTTACCGCACACTTTAATATTTATTATTCATTCTCATCTTTCAACCCCCCGAGAAGTATGCCTGACAGCCATCATTTTCATCCTTTTTGGACACAGAGGAGGAAACAAGTCCAAGAGACAGTCATCACCTTGCCAAGGTCAAAAAACCAGGTTGCAGGGCAGTGTCTTAAGTGAATTAATAATGCTATAAAGGGTTTTTGGGGGGACCCTGACAAAAGAAAGACAAGTTCCAGCTGGGGAAAATGGAGACACCTACCAGTCCCAGATGAGGGGAAACAAGATGACCCTTGAAAATGGCTTAAATTACAAAGATTTGGCATTTCCAACAGTGGAGATGATGTTAAAGAAAAGCATGGATTGATGAAAGTTAGGATGCTGGATGACAATGGGTCTTGTTATAGATTCATTACAGGATGGGGAGCCACCAAGTGATTTCGAGGCAGCTTCTTGTCCATGCAATGAAGTGCAGTTTGCCGGGATTTAAATCTCAGTTCTAAACACCTATAAATTGATCTTGAGCTTTACCTAAACCTCAGTTTCCTCAACAGTAAAATGACTGTGAGAGTCATTACCTTATAGGGTCACAGTGAGGCTTTAAATGGGCAAAGTGCATATGCCTAGAACATAGTCCCGGAAAATAATTATTAGCCATAGCTAAGACCTGATGGAGGTGAACCTTAGAAAGGCTGCCATGGTGAACTGAAAACAGGCTGGGGTGGGAGCGAGGTGGAATGGAATACCAGGAAAAGGAAGGCGAGTTGGAGCCTGTAGAGCAAGAGGTCCGAGTGAGGTACAGAGAGGGCTTGACTTGGGCGACCAGGTCTGGAGATGTCAGATGTCAAGCATTTGAAAACCTCCAGTTGGTTAGAAGTAAAATGTAAAATGTGCGGTTTTTAATTGTCCCCAGATTAGTGCTTCTCTCTGTTGCCTGGCTAGGTTTACAAAGTTTAATGACCAAATTTATAATGGTTTTGGTTCCAGTCAAAAATTCTGTAAAGACACCGAATGAATTCTAGCCTTCGCACCTGTTCAAACAGCAACAAAGATAAAATGAACTAGTGGAAAGACCAACCCCTTCCTTTCCTTAATGAGGCTCCACTGATTTTTGCAAACAAATACAAGACAATAAATTGCCCCAAATGCCCTTTTTTTTTTCCAAAGCCAGGCTGTAGGACTGATCTGGGTGTTCCCAGCCAACTCGAGGCGATAAGTTCTCACAGCTGGACCATAAAATGCTTTTGCAGCTCTGAGGGTATTCGCCTAGTCCCTTTGTTCCCACTAGAGCTTTGGGTATTTGGGAGTATATCCTGTTGGTCCCAAGACTAACATTTTCCTGTTGGTTTGTTTCACAGGTCAGTGACCCAAATCTCTCAAAAGTCACAAAGAAGCTCATCAGGAGGTCAGAGGCTGCCCAAAAGGCATTTGGTTTCCAGCCCAGGAACTCAGGACAGACCTAAGATCAGGGCTGGAGTGACTCTTAGCAGCCTGTCATTACCTACAAGAGTAGAGAGTTGGCTTCCTTCCAGGGGCTTCTGTTCCGTACGTTCAGTTCTTCCCAGAAGACGGAGGTCTAGCGCTGTTCTCTACGGTACGGGAGCCATGAGCCTCGTGTGGCCGTGGAGTACTTGAACTGTGGCTCGAATTGAAATGGGCTGTGATTGTAAAATGCACACTGGGTTTCAGAGGCTTAGCATTAAAACAATGAATGAAAGTATCTCAATGTTCTTATATTGATTACATTTTTAAACATTTTTTATTGATTTATAATCATTTTACAATGTTGTGTCAAATTCCAGTGTTCAGCACAATTTTTCAGTTATACATGAACATATATATATTCATTGTCACATTTTTTTCTCTGTGAGCTACCACAAGATCTTGTATATATTTCCCTGTGCTGTACAGTATAATCTTGTTTATCTATTCTACAATTTTGAAATCCCGTCTATCCCTTCCCACCCTCTGCCCCCTTGGCAACTGCAAGTTTGTATTCTATGTCTATGAGTCTATTTCTGTTTTGTATTTACACTTTGTTTTTTGTTTGTTTGTTTTTGTTTTTGTTTTTTAGATTCCACATATGAGTGATCTCATATGGTATTTCCAAGGAAGACATACAAATGATCAAAAGGCACATGAAAAAATGCTCAATATCACTAA